AAATGATTTATATTCAAACCTACAAATTGAAACACAAAATTAAAATTTAAAAGAGCAGACAAAGTCTGGTCACATCATCATCATCATCATCAAAGTTTGTCTTCCTCCTACCATTGTTCAATTAAATCTTCATCATATGTGAAACCATCTACATACCAAATTGTAGACAAATTGACATGGCATTCACAAGACATAAAACTTCACAATGGGGCAGAGGCCGAGCTCGGTTCGGAAGGAGCTTAGGCGCTAGAGGTAGGATGGCGGCAGAGGAGGCCGAGCTAGCTAGGGCGTATTAGAGGTGGGAAGGGTATGCAAGGGATGTCAAGCTCCGGCGAAGCATGGGAAGCAGGCTTCGACAGTTGGAGTTAGGGTCCTGCCTAGCCTATTCAATCAGCCAAGATAAGTTGGGGGTAGAGTTTGACCGATAGGGTGGGGTGGTAGGAGGTAGTGGTGCAGCTCCAGCGATGACGTATGAGCTAGCTCTAAGCATTTTATTTCATATTTTAATAGAAAAGAGATTGAGAAAATATCTCTTGATCAAAAGCTAGTCTCATACACACATTTCAAGATTATGAGATTGCCATGTGGGTCTAATCATATTATAAGCTATTGCTAAAAGTTAACATTATTGGAGAGATTGTCTTAGAACGAGATAGTAACTAGCTCATACTGTTAAGGATAGCCTTGAGTGAAGGGGAGGAGCGAGTATCTGTATGGGCACGGGTGATGAAATGAAACGAAAAGAAAAGTGTGACATGTGAGGTGACCCAGCAATGAGGGGTGGAGCGGGGAAGTAGGGAGTCTCCTACTTTTATGTGACTGAGAGAGAGTACTTAACTATGTTTTTTATTAGCATTAAAAAAATTCAGAAGTTTCTGGAGCTGATCTAAGGCTTCAAACGGCTCTAGCTCCTTGGTATAGTTTATGAAGTAGCCGGAGCCTTCAGTAAGTCTAAATTTATTTTGAGAGGAGAATAAAACTCGTTTCTTACTAAAGTGTACTCGAGGATCTAAAACCGAATCAAACGAGGCCTAAGCGTCTGGAGTTGATCTAAGCGTCCGGTGGGGTACCTACTATGTGCTCCTACTAACCAGTGTCTATGCTTTGTTTCTTAGACCAATCCGACGATTCAGATCCAGCCGCGCGGCCTCACTGGCTTCTCTCCCCGCGGTGGGCCCCCACCTGCGCAACCCATGGATGGGGACACGATCGCGGGCAGTTTGGTTTACGATCTGATCGCGTGGTGAGCTAGCTAGATTCATAATATTCAACGGGCGGCGGGAGAGAGGTGAGGTCAGCGGCGCTGTCCATGACGCCAGGAAGAAGAGATCGAAACAGGAGGCCCGAGGCCGGGGCCACACGGCCACCAGTTGTTGTTGGATGGAGCTGCAGGCGGGTGCGTGCGTGACTGCGTGGTCGCGCGCGGTCCCATCGCATTTCGCATGCACGGGACGGGACGCGATCGCATCGTATCGTATCTGTCAATCAAATGCGCGCGGACTCGAACTCGACCGATCGTGAGGCGGTGGCATCTTCCGTTCCGTCGCGCCCGTCCCGCTTGCGTCCATCACATGCTGGATGCTGATGCGTTTCTTTATCGGTGATGATATATGTCGGGTGTCCGATCCTTCACTTCACCTCTGGACGTGGCTCGCTCTCCTCCACTCGCTCGTGGCTTATCCTTATTCGCTTGCCCCACGTCGCTCCGCCCGCTCCATACGGTGCGCCCCCGCTCAGGTAGCAACGAGATGCTCACCGCCGCTCCCTCCCGAGCCGCTCGTGGCGCCGCCCCGCCCGAGCCGTGCGCCCTTCATGATAACAAGCCGCTCTTGTGCCGCCCCGCCTAGGCCGCTCGCCGGTGCACCCCCTCTTGAGCTGCTTTCATGGGGCTCCCCCCCGCACCACTCCCTCCTTCGACCCAGCGGCCTCCTCTCATGGCGGCTCCTTCCCGCACCCAGCGTCATTCCTCCCCCCCCCACAGCACGCGCACCGCCTCCTCCTTCCCGACCCAGCGTCCTCCTCGACTGCTTCCTTCCCGCACCTTGACGTCCCTCCTCCCCCCACCCGTGGCGCCTCCCTCCCCCTCCCCACACTAGCGTCCTCCCCCACAAGGAGCTCCGGACGTCTGCAGATCCGGCGGCTATGGCGCTCCCCACGCCAGGCTCTCTTCTCTTCCCCCATGTTGCAATTGTGTCTTTCAATTGTTTCAGAAGCTTTAGAGGTATGTTGCAGTAGAATCATATGGTTGATTGCAAAAGTAGATCTGGCATGCTGCACTTTTGTTGATAAGTTGCAAGTGTTTCAAAGGATTGTTGCAAGCACTTTGTTCAAAATGTTTCACATGTTTCTACACGATGTTGCAATCGTTTCTGGTCTGGATGTTTTCATATGGTTCACTCAATTGTTGCAATAATACTTTCCAAATTATTTCAGTTGCTTTCAGTCTTATGTTGCAGTAATTATTCCACGTTGTTGCAAGTGTTTTTTATTTGAGCGTTATTTCATATGCTTTCAGCCTAATGTTGCAGCGGTTGTTCCGTGTTGTTGCAATAATATGTTCATGGTGTTTCAGCTGCTTCAGCCAAATATTGCAACAATTGTTTCGTGTTGTTGCAATAATATGTTCATGATGTTTCAGTTCCTTGAGCCTAATGTTGCAGTAGTTGTTCCGTGTTGCTGCACGTGTTTTATTCCAACTTTCTATGTTGTTCGGCCGGGGGGCGAGCCAGGCGGCCAGGGGCGCATGGCTCGCCGGAGGGATAGTGGACGGAGGCATTGGGGGTCAACGGATGGGGGTGCTACGGTCAGGGGGCGATGGGGCATGTTCGTCGCGCACATGGGGCGTTGCGAAGGCAGAAGCGGCGGGCTATGGGGGACAGGCTGCGGGAGTGAGCTGGGGGCGCACGGGGCGTGAGCGGCAAGCGCGGGGGTAACAAGCGCAGATCGAGGCATGCGTGAGAAACAGGAGCGGACGGGCTGGCGCGGTCAGGTGCAACTGCCTCAAACGTGCGGACGCTAGCAGTTTCCTTTCTTTATTCCTGCTACCTGCTGGCGCCTGTGCTGCGTGCTCTGCTGGGTCTTCCAACTGCCGCCTTTCTTCGTTCTGAAATTCGGCACATGGCGATAAGTACGCGTGCTCTAGTGCCATGTCCTACTGTTCTGTTCACACGCGACTAGCTAGGAAAGGCGACGACCACCTTTTTCTCCGGCGGTGACGGGCTGACGGCTCCCACCTACGTACATACATAGGGTACAGATTCGTACGGGGCCAAGGATCGGATGACCAACCATTCTTTGAACGTGATGGGACTATACGCGAGGCACCATTCATGATTCATCACATAGTATTTTCCACACTAAAATCCACATTATATTGAGGATATGCTTTTCTTTTATATATTTTGCCGTTTGACTCGTTAAATTTCAGAAGAGAAGTTTGACTTGACAAAACCAGAATCATATACTCTCTACTCCAAATTATAAGTCATTCTGGCTTTTCTTAAGCAATGTATCTAGAAAAGTCGTTCTGTTATAGTTATTGATGTATTTATTTTCTAAAGCTATACCAAAGATAAAGAGTAGTTTAACTTAGTAGAGGTCTAAAACATCCTGTTTGTTTGAGCTGCGTTTATTTTTTTTTGTCTTCTGACTCAAAAGTTGGCTCCTTTGGTTCCGACTGTTATTTTTTAGCTATTGCTTTTGTAATAAATTTTTAGCTTCTCAGCGCATCGACAACAAAAAAAAGCTCCATCCAGTGTGCTTTTCAACTTTCAGTTTATTTCTTCAGAAGTTAGCTTTTTTTGGAAGTCAGCTCAACATATAGGCCGTATGCCAGCCGGAAGCTGAAACAGATAGCAGCGCTTCGACGGTCTGGTGGTGTGTGTAGGTAGGTGTGCTTGACCTTTGCAACCGAACGAAGATACTCCACGTCCACGGTGGATAAATAAAAGAAAAAGTAAACGATGGATAGGTATGGATTACTTGCTCGATCATCCAGCAGATTCGAGTATTCGGCGCTTGCATTGACCTGTTAAAATCTGAAGTGAAGGGAGAAGCTATCGTCGTCAGCGGTAGACAATAATCCGGTCTGCCCGTCGTTTTGTTTCTTTTTCTTCAGATTTGATCCATCGACGGCTGAACAATTCCTCAACCTATCGATCGGTTGCTTCTTCAACTTGCTGCCAGAGATAGCTAGCAAGCACCGCGCCGGCCGTACGAAAGTCAACAGCACGCCCTAAACAATCGCTGGACACTAGCTCGTACGGGGTTCCTGATGCGTTCGTACACACGCGTACGACGGCCGCCGGGAACCGGGAGCCAACAGGTAAGAACGCATGCATTTTTGTCAGATCGATCCATCGACAAGTCAGAGCGCGGCGCGCGGCAGCGGCTAACCGCCCGATCCATGGACCGACCGCTGGAGCAGCTAGCTAGGTAGCTCGCTCGCTCGCGTAGCAGAGGCAGAGCAGACAGCCCTGGCGCGTGGACCAGAGAGAAATTGAACGCGGCGGCAGCGACACGCAGGACACGTTAGTTGGGGAGACCGCAGCGGCGACCACGACGACGACGACGGTGACAACGGGGACGACGGGCTATTCTATTGCGCGCGCTGGCTCGCTTGCTTGTCTCGCTTGCCCGTGGGGCCGGCCGGTGCGTACGTAGGCCAGCTAAGCCAGTTGACATTTTTGATGCGCCCACGCCCAGCCGTATGGACGAGGACAACGACGACTGAACCGTGATAGGCTCCGCCACTGGGATTCGGTGAGGCATCTACCATTTGTTTATCCCAAGCGAGTCAGAAACTGTAGGCTTGTTGTCCTCGCGCCCGTGCCCGCCTCTTTCCTTTCCTTCTTTATAAGGAGACGAGCGAGCTCGGCATAGAGGTACGGCCAGGACAAGGCATTGCTTGCCGAAAGCTGAGCTGAGCTGCTGCTCGATCGAGAAGGGAGGGGTAGGCCGGTACGGCTAGCTAGATTGGTTGGTTGGTTGCCGCCGTTGCCATGGAGGTCGCCGTCGAAAGGCCGCCGCCGCAGGTTAAGGAGGAGAAGAGGCCCGACGCCAAGCCAGAGATCGCCGCCGCACCGGTATGAAAGACTACATGCTCGATCCTTTCTCTTTCCTTCTTCTTTATTCATATAATTTTGTGTTGGTTCTTCAACGGTCGTAAACTAGAGAGATCTGGCAGAGCATGAACCTTTTCTTGTGGATGCAGATAGGAAGCGCTGTTCCGATAGTCTTCGAAAGCTTTCCATCGACGCAAAGAGACGCGGCCGGCATCAACATCAAGCAGGAGGAACGCAGGCTGGAGGCGGCCAGGGCGGAGATGGGCGAGGTGAGGGAGGAGAACGAGCGCCTCAAGTCGATGCTGTCCCGCATCGTCAGCCAGTACCAGTCCCTGCAGATGCACTTCCTCGACGTCGTCAAGGTGCAGGAGCAAGCATCTGCAGCCAAGGCGGAGAACAAGCTCCCCGTGGCGCCGGCGCCCACCACCGACGATGACGGCCCCGATGACCTCGTCTCCCTGAGCCTCGGCACGAGGGCCAACAGCGGTGGCGGTGGTGCCGCCTCCAGCCGCAAGGGGCACGAGAGGTCGTCGTCCTCGTCCGGCACCGCTGATGAGATGACCACCGCTGGCGCCGATGACGAAGGCCACCACCAGCTCTCCCTCGGGCTCGGCTTCGCGCGCGGGAGCGGGCTGCCGTCGTCCACGGCGGCCACGGATGACGACAAGGGGAGCCACGCGTCCGCGGCGCCCGTCCTGAACCTGAGCTCCGACAGTAGCGGCAGCGCCGACGACAACGATGACGCCAAACCTGCCCTGGCCGCCGTGGGCACCGCCCGTAAGAGCCCGAGCGCCGGTGCCGGAGACGGATCAGCTGACAACGAGGTGCAGCAGCAGGCCAAGAAGGCTAGGGTTTCCGTCAGGGTCAAATGCGACACTCCCACGGTACGTGACAAATCTGCACCTTGTTAATAAGCCTTCGGCCAATTTCAATGGGAGTTTTATAAAGTTTTATAGACATTAAGAAGAGAGATGATAAAAATTTTATGGGAGTAGAGAGAGTTTTATGGGGATGAAACTCTTCGGCACTGTTTCCAAAAACATGAGAGTATTGAAAACTAGGACATTGAATTAGCACCGAGACTGACCTTATAAAACTTGAGAAAATTGTCCCAAATAAACACAGACTAGCATGCATAAAAATTGATTGAGCTCTAGCTAAATGCAATATATTGTTATTTATGCCTGACCTAAAAATCATAATTGTTTTGTCTAGATGCCCGATGGCTGCCAATGGCGGAAGTACGGGCAGAAGATCTCCAAGGGGAACCCGTGCCCGCGAGCCTACTACCGCTGCACGGTGGCGCCGCACTGTCCGGTGAGGAAGCAGGTGCAGCGGTGCGCGGAGGACACGTCGATCCTGATCACCACGTACGAGGGCGTGCACAACCACCCGCTCCCGCCGGCGGCGACGGCCATGGCGTCCACGACCTCCGCCGCGGCGGCCATGCTCACCTCGGGCTCCACCACCTCCGCCGCCTCAGCCTCGCTCATCCACGGCCACCACCACCAGCTGGCGGCCGCCGCCGGGATGCTAGGCCCCACCACCATGGTCTCCACCGCCGCGTCCTGCCCCACCATCACGCTCGACCTCACCTCCCCTGCCGCGCCGCACTCCCTCATGCACTCCTCGCCCTACGCCGCTGCCGCAGCAGCAGCCGCAGCGGGGTTCGAGTCAAGGCGGTCCCGGCGGCGTGGAGCAACGGGTACCTGGCGTACAGCGGCGCCCACCCGTCCTACTACTCCAAGAGCTCGCCGGCGCTGGGGCACCTATTCGGTGGAAGCCTGGGGGCGCCATCGAGACCAGAACAGCTCTACGCCGCCCAGTCGTACCTGCAGAGAGCCAACAGCCTGGGCGGCGGCCATGGCGCGGTGGCGCCGGCCGTCACGGACACGCTCGCGAAGGCGATCACGTCCGATCCGAGCTTCCAGTCCGTGCTGGCCGCGGCGATCACATCCGTCATGGGACGCGGCGGAGCCGCTGCTGCCCAGAAGTGATCAGGAATTCAGGATCGGCGGCGCATGCCCCATGCGGGAGATCGATGGGCAAGGGAAAATCGCGTTTTTGAGCCCATCAGCCCATGCATGCATGGATTAGTGGTTCATGTGTAATTAATAAGTGCATCGTGGTTATTTTACTTTGTTCATTGAAGTAGTTGTTCGTAATTGGCTGGGGAAATGATTGGTGATCACATTATGTCAATGTAACAGGGATCATCAATTTGATCGATCGATGTACATAGCACAGACGAGTCAAAAAATTGTACGTATCTATGCACCATGGGTAGAATGAAAGAAAGTTTTGATCAGGTTGTTCCAGCTAAATTTGATGGGATCCAAATTAAACCCTATATACTTTTTTTTTGCTTTCCATTTCAAGGACAACATAACACACGCCACACTCGCAACTTCCAAATGAAACAAATGACATGATGGAGCTAGAGAAGTCGTTTTGAGATGACAGATCATCAAAAACTTTCCATTTCAGGGGACACTTGATTTGTTCATCCCAAGGGAGGTTTTGACATGACAGATCAGAGGGCATTTGATATGTTCATCCCAGGGGAGGTTTTGACATGACAGATCATGGGGCACTTGATTTCTTCAAGAATAATTCGATCAAGTACAGCTACACTCAATGAGCGTTAAAGACCAGGCCAGGCAAGCAAAATTAAACTACAGATGATGGAGATATATGTTACTAATGAAGTCTGAATCAAGACTTTGGACGCCGATCTGAACCAAGTCAAACAACTACCGTATTAGTTGGAGATTAGCCAGAGATGCAGGCAACTGCTCTGCTCGTCAGAGAAGACATGGACAGGCGAACCAATCAAAGTTGACTAAATATTATACCAGAGGAGACTTACGCTCCTCTCTCGAGTCTTGATTAGTAGTAGTACGTGCGCTGAGTGCTGTCCATTTCTTCAGCTTCTGTAATAGGGCTTTGTCCATGTCTTCTTCAGTTTCTGAATTGAAATACTAGGGTTCTGTCTTCTGTCCATTTCTTCAGTTTCTGAAATAAGTAGCGTTTTCAGACCAATCACCAATATACATACATTCAGATTCTCCGAGGAATGAGTAAATCACTGAGACGAGAATTTTACGAGTTCTCTGGCGTGTGACGAGATCAGATTGTGGCTAGAATGCTAGATGATTGCGCCTCTAACGCCATCTTGCCTTGCATTTGGTTGGACCGACGAGCTAGTTTTAGATGCTGAATATGCTCAGTTTCAGTTCATCACGCTCGTTGGCCTATCAGACCTAATTTGTTCAGACGCTCTTTGATCAAGTAGTACAAGAGTTTTTTTTTTCGATCCCTCAGATATGATGTTTTAATTTCAAGGAATTAAACCACAGTAATCAGACCTAATAAACTAGCTAAACATATATGCAATAATGCAACAACTTTGGTCAGAGATGATCATATGACAGAACTTGAAAACTCTGATCTGAACCAATGCAAGTCAACCAACCACCGTAGTTCCAGACTGCTCGTAAGGAAAGATCAGGACTACAGAGTAAAAAGATAATTGCGCAATCTAATTGATACATCCTTTTTTTAGCAATATATGTACTTCCCAAGATATAAGTTGCCGATTTTACCAGCTCCCGACGCCCGACATAGGGTTTTTTTTTTTTTTTTTTTTTTTTTTGCTATGCTACTGAAACATTGGTTACAGATGACAGCACTTGAAAACTCTGATATGTGTTATAAAACATGTTGCTAGCGGTCAGAACATTTTTCTCTTCGTCTCTCATGATCAATATAGTAGATAAAAGTAGAACACAAAGACACAAGAGATAGAGAGACTACTTTTTATTCCTCTCAATATTAGTGATTACAACATAGAGCTTCCACATATATATAGTCCTGTTAAGGTCTAAGAGTTTTGGTAAGAGCCTACGTACAAACGGACTAGGATCAGGATTCCTCCGTCTCCTTTCCTTCTGGGATAGAGTCCGTATGTTTTACAACACTCCCCTTGGGCGATTACCACGATATGCACATGCCTCATTAAAAACTCCATCCGAAAATCCAGTGGAAAAAATGGTTCTTGGAGAAAAGAGTGCATCACATTCGCTAATTGCATTATTGCACATGTTGTCTCATTAAAAACCTTTCGTGAGAAACCTTCAGGTAAAAACTCACATGGGAAAAAAGAGTACAACATTTAACATTCTTGGTCATATATTCTTCAGGATATTCTATTCTTCATTAATATATATTTATCTTCATGATCTATGCATAAACTTTAATGTTTTAGCAAAATGATCTACTTGATCTTTGTAATTCTAGTGGTTTTAATTACCTTCAAGGTATCAAGGTAGATTCAATTAAATTGCTCCCCCTCGTAAAGCCATCCTTTGAACATCAATGTTCAAACCACACTTTTCATAAAATGTGTGCTTAATAATGGTATGCAGTACCACAATACTATATCTTTCAAAATATTGCCTTGCAATTCTACTATGAATTATAATATGAGTAAACAAGAGCAATATGCTTCAAGCATAAATGACCACTTATTAGTTGTGCAAACAAATAAAATTTATCCTTTAGGATAATAAATCCTTTCAGAGGATTACGAGGGTAAATAATTTACAATATTCATTATCTTCTATATAGTGCATCAAACATATACTAGAGTTTGAATACTTATATTCTTTCTAGGCGGCTTTTCGAATTATATGTTATACAAATCTTCAGAATTTTGATTGTACCACTAAATAATAAATCCAGTCTTGCATTTGACATTTAGGGGATAATTCAATTACCAAAATCACTATTTTTCTTATACCTTCTACGATATTTAGAGGATATCACCACTTCATTGCTAGCTTTCAATTTACACTTTTTGAGTGTTCATATGACACCTTTATGGTGTTTATGATTCCTCATTTTTTTTCACTCGGGTCTATATTCACTTTAGGGATTAATGATGTTTATTCAAGAATCGATTGGTAAATCCTTCATGGATTAGTTCCTTCAAAGATGTTCTTATTTTCGGTGAATTACATTTCTCTTCCACGAGATATATTCTCTATTGTATGAGAGATTATTATGAGATATACACAATGATAGTGTTATTCCCTACAAAGTCATTCAATGACTCTATTATTTCTAGGACATGCTCTTCTTGAGACTTCAATATTCATACATGAATATATATTTTACCTTAAATTTCTTAATACTTGTATGAGATTTAATTTTCGTACGTTGCGATTTATATTCTTCAAGAATTATATGAATTTTCATAATCCACTTATTAACTGCATATTTCATATTCATTCATTTCATTTGTCAGAGATATAGCAGAACATCTATTTCTTCTTAGTAGGAGATTCAACCTCAATTGCTTTCTTCATTGACCCGATATAATCGCTACAGGCGACTTTGTCATGAACTTTGTTTTCTGGATCCGAGTTCTCAAAAGAGAAACATTTGTAATTGTAGAGGTAGTGTTGTCGACAACTTTTATTTTCTCCCAACACTCTCATAATGTGAGATTATTCTATCTCTTTGTCATTTTCCAAATAAGAGATAATTTATTGTTCTGTGTACCCAACACTATGATGCGCACGCTTAGTGTGTTGGATTTCATCTTCATGGTGATCCTCTTCATGAGGTGCTTAACCTTCTTCATGAGAATGGAGGAGTTTCATTTTATTTCTAGTCAACAAGTATACACTAAACTAGAACTTATAGGCATCCCTGTAGATTTTAGCTTGATAGTATATAATATTTTGTTTACTACTAGTAAACACAACTTCTGGTTTATAATTTCAAGCTACTCCTCTCATTTTCAAAAATATCTGGCATATGCTCCGCTTCATGCTTCACAAGAGCATTAGTCAAACTATTGTTTGATTTAGTGTGTGATACTATTCCTACTTCAAACTTCAAGCAATATTTTCTCTTAAGGTCATTTTTTTCTATGGAAATATATTTGGCATTCAACATAGGCTTTATCTCCCCCTAATACCAATATTAGATCTTTAATAGCATACTTCAAAAGATATCTCCTATGATGAGCTTAAAATAATTAAAATCATATATCTCCAACTACAAGTGGAGGCCCATTTATGTATGCTATGATAGAGATTTATGGGAAATATTAACGCACATATTTAAACACGGGGGTTATTATTCATTAATGCAGCGAGCTAGAATACATAAAGTGCACTTAAGAATGTTCAACATTCCTACAAACTCAGGGATGTTCTCCCCCTGATTTGCACATATCATAGTTTAGAAAAATATTTCATTTTCTAGCTTCTTTATTGTTTAGCCAAAATAATTGATCCAAGTACTCATACATAAAAAATAGACCATATACTTCAAAAATATAGAATACGCAACAATCAAACTCACATGAAATTTCTTTTAGACTTTCTAATTGCCATTAATGCAAAATTCCCTAAATACCTTTTCTTCATAAATCCCAAATCATCATAAGTATGTTATCCACATATTAATTCCATAATTATTCATCCCATTAATTGGGTTAGTCTCCGTTGAGCAAATATCATATTAATTTGCTCCCCCTGATCTTAGGCTGCTTGGCCCTATACCAATCTATTGCTTATGCATATGATGCATTGAGAAAGCAAATTATTCCTTAGTTCAACGAGAACTATATAGACATAGCGTGTTAGCTAGCCAATTTAATTATGAGGGAAGAGTGTAAAGGTAGCTACTAGCTATAACTATAGCTGCTATGCTAATATTCATGCAAGAGTAGAGATAGTTGCAACTCGACGAGAGTACACAACATAGTGATACACATTCATGTGTAATGTGGAATGTCGATATTTAATCCAACATAATAAATAACAACAAAATGCAAATCTACAAGCTTACTTGCAATTAGTGCAATGTAGAGAAAGTAAACTCAGCTGGAAGGGACGTGGCTAGGACTTCAAGTCCTGATACATGCACTTAAAGATAGATTTAGAAAGGCTATATCTATTAATATATATTACCCACATATTCTTATGCCTTTCCCGAAATTCCTCCCCTTTTTATACCATAGTTACTTCAAGTAGTAATATGCTTCATGCATCATTTATGGATAATCCATTCATAATATTTCA